TCAACTGAAATCCAAATCAGAAAACTGAGCACATTTTCTAAATTGTAAAAAATTATAAAAAGGTACATGTGGAATTGGGGAGTGCTTTGTAGGGGTGGAGAAGAGTAAGATCAGAGAGAGAATATAGGGTAAATTAATCAACCTGTTAGAGCTCTCTGAAAGCTGGCATCAGAGAGTAAGGGTAAGGTTTGAGTTTCTTTTGACAATTTTGTCAAATTCTGTTTACACACACACACATTATATATATAATAGCTGGCCAATTGTATTCGAGGATACACGTCTACTAGGGTGGCTAGCCAATCCCTATTGCAGACTCTTGCTCAGGCACATTTGTTTTGCTCAACACCCAGACTTGTAGCTTTGTGCTAGCACAATATTGGCATTTAAAAGAGTTCCAAAAACCCAATTTCACTTACAAGGCTTGGGTCAACCCGTGGTATGGTTTTCATGCAGTTTCCAAAGGTGCTGCATGCTGGGATCAACCTTGATCCATTCTGATAACAACAGGAAGTGTGATATTTGAACCCGGGTCTCATTGTCAGAAAGTGAATGTTCTAGCATTTTCCATTTGTGTGTGTGTGTGTGTGTGTGTGTGTGTATATATATATATATATATATATATATAAAAAATAGCAGCATTGCTCGTGCTTGATTCAAAAAATCGTACGACTCATACAGCAATCGCTATCACTTGAGTTAAAATATTTTTGCCCTTCTGCTTTTTTTAAAGGAGTGCCTTTTTGCCGTGTTGATGTTGCTACATGTCTTACTTCTTGCCTATCTCACACTGCAAATTTTTTCTAAGCTCTGTACTAAACATTAAATCTGTTATGAAAAAAAGAACTAAACAAAATGAACACAAAACGATCAGCTTTAAAAAGGACTCATAACTGGAAAAACCGAATGAAAAAAGAATGTTAACAACAAATACTTTTTTCACACCCAACCCAGTTCTGCGGAATCAGAATCAACATTGAGTTTAAGCAAGCGAATGAGCCTATTGGAGTAAAGTGCCATGCAGATTTAAATTTTTTACCACTTGTGACAAATGCAGCTATCGATTTTTTTTTTTGCATGCTAGTTAACATTTGTGTCAGTCAGCTGTTGGCTCTCATGCTGGCCAATAGAATCTTCCTGCCTATTCGTGACAGCCAGCTATTGGCTCTCACTCTGGCCAGTACAAAATGGTCGCAAAAAAAAAAATCAATTATTTCCATTATCGATGGGAGTTGGGAAATGCAAAATCGGTCTTGGCTTCCCGCTAACTTGGAGCATGTGCATGTAAATTTTGGTGCAAATCCGCTGAAAATTGCAGCCGTGCATTCGTTACACACACACACACACACACATCCTGCCTTATATATATATATATATATATATGAATGAATGAAGAAATATAGTTTTAATTGTACTATATTTTGGGATAAAAATATGCAGTGCAATATCAGAGATAGAGTGTAAATAAAATAAATATTTGAACATTTTAATCAACATATTTTGACAGGCTTTTTCATTTTAGATGCAATCATCAGGTGACCTGACGATTGTGTCTAGCATTAAACAGCCTGTCACCAATATTGTTTCAATGTTTTTTTATAGAAACTAAACAACATATTTATTTATTTTCATCAACCATCCTGAATATTTTTGAGAAATCTTAAAAATCAAAAATGTGCCAAACTGGCAGATATTTTTCTTTAATAAGATTTTTTTAATAATATTTTGTTTTTTTAAACATATATATATATATATATATATATATATATATATATATATATATATATATATATAGTGTGTGTGTGTGTGTGTGTGTGTGTGTGTTTCAACAATTATTATTATTATAGCAGATACTGTGTGTATTATATCTAATTAGCCTGAGCATTACAAAGAAAACCTCAAAGAAAATGTCCTCTTCAGCAGTGATTGAACCTTTGAAGGAGAAACCCCCATTTGATCCGATGTGTTTTACTAATTGTCTACAGAGTGCCATAATTCAACAAGGCTCTATTTTCCCTTTTAAGAGAAAGAACATTTTATCATCCAGATACTTGTTTGTGTTTTGGGTACGAATCTGAGCAGATATGAGCTTTTGTGAAAAAATATCTGGATGAGGAAGTGTATTGTCCTTAAAAGGGAAAATAAAGCCTTGCTGCACTGTGATGCTTGCTGTAGCTGAGTGGTACAGCATATCAGATCAAACATTGGTTTCTCCTACAAAGGATGTTGCAGGTCCAATCCCTGTTGGAGAGCATATTTTCTTTGTTATTTATCGAATGTATACTAACAGACGTAGTACACAAAGTTTAGAATAAAAATGGGGAGTCTATTTCAAATACAAGTAACTGCTGTAATAATGTTTGAAGCAATAATCATGTTGGATTAAAAAAGTAAATCTATATTTCTTTACACACACACACACACACACACACATACATATATATATATATATATGAAAAATCAGGCAAAAGAGGAAACCCTATTTAATGATAAAGCATTTCACCTTTGTTAGGCTGTTAAAGTAAATGTTTTCAGGTCAGAATGAAAGATGTGTATATTTATATATATATATATATTAAGAAATGGACAAAGTCCGACAATTTATTTATTAAATACTTGTATCTATAAAAAAAAAAAAAAAGAACGTTAAACATAAAATGTCTTTAATATATATATATATATATATATATATATATATATATATATATATATATATATATATATATATATATATATATATATTTTACCAAAAATATGGCAAAATTTATATTAGAATAGGATTTGATTTACTCAAGTTTTTCCGTTCTATTCATGATTATTTAATAAACATCTTTGTTTTCTCTACCTAATCGTCTGTTCCTTTGATCCTAACTACACCCTTCGTAATTCTCAGCTATTCTGAACAAAGAAATTTATATAATACCAAATTGTAATTAGTAGAGATTATTCCAAAGAGGACTTTTAGTTCATGTGAGAACTCAATGTATGATACAGAGCAAATTATAATAAAAAAAACAAAAAAACAAATACAGATTTTTAGTATTTTTCCTTATTATTGTTTTATATATGTATAAATAAAAATAATAGTAGGACTCCCCCATCGTTTTCGACGTTCAAGGCTCTGACAACTTAACCAATTGATTCAGTTATGAAATTTAGTGCAATAATCTGAAGTGGCACTTAAGACCTGCTAGCGATTTACAAAGGAGGCTGCATACGGAGCAAGAGTGAGATCACTGTTAGATTGGCTGACCTTTTAGATCTTGCTCTCGCTTCTTGAAGACAATTCAGACAAGCAGATTGAAAACTGCTGAGTCCACTAAAACACATTGATCTCCATTCTACCTGCTCCAAGGCTATGCGCTCAAGGGTGTTATTAGGTATATTGACAGCTAACAAGTTTCTCTTCAGCTTGTCTTTTGTATCTTAGTCATGGGCATTCTACATTTCTGTAGTCCTGATCTAACTGGCTGTACATTAGGATCTTGGGTATCCTGTCACCAGACATTCTCAAGACATGACCAGTCCACTGTAACAGACTGTATGAGAAAAGTCTCTATTCCTCCAATATTACACCTGTTAAACAGGTCTACAATATATGTCCTATCTTGAAGGTTAACTCCACAGATGGTACACAGAAAGCTTTCATGAAAAAAAACGTCTGGCTTGAATTATATGGAACCTTTATGGAGTCCATACAGGTACTATATATATATATATATATATATATATAACATACATGTCTTTTATTCTGACCTGAAGACGCTTACTTCATAGCCTAACAAAGTGAAATGCTTTGTCATTAAATAAGGTCCCCCCCCACCGGATTGATTAGACACACATTATATATATATATATATATATATATATATATAAAAATTGTGTGTATTTTTTTTCTTTCTGTGGCTTCTTTGCACAATCTACCTATGTTTGTTTTCATAAGACCCCCCCCAACCCCTGATAGAAATAACTGTTGTGATGTCTTCTGTCCATCCAAGAACATATCAGGCCAGAGTGAAAACTTGAATCGCAGTTGATGATCAGTATTTGTGACTTGCTTATTATTTTTAAAATTATACACCAGCTTATGTAAATAAAGAAAAAGAATTTTTTTTTTTTTTTTACACAAATTCTAATATGCTACACAGACTTTCTGGTGCAATCCCTTGTCTATTTTGGTCCCCCCCCCTCCAAGTTTAATAAGGTTTAGAATTAAACATTTTGAACAACCAGATGAGGTCAAATGTCGCAGGCAACCCATTTGAATTGTCTCCTTTAGGGAAACTTTAGGAAGTTCTTTTTTTTTGCTTCTTTTACATCAAAAAATACACTGACTGAAACAAGGGTTAAAAAAAAAAAAAAAGAAAAGACAATTTCAGTTGTAATAATTTATAAAATTTTGCATAATTTCTCATTGTATTTTTTTCCTTAGAATTTTTTGCCTTTAAACTTTTAGTAAAGTTTAAATAGAGAGACATCTGAAGGCAAGTGAGATTTTACCAGTCAGATTTTCCAGAATTTTGGCAAATAATTTCAAAGATTATTCAAATGATAGATCATTAGGCAGAAGACCTTAAGGGTTACTTAAAATACCTTCTAAAAAATTCTGTTTAATTGAAAAGTCAAATCTGCAAAAATGTTTTCTTTTTTAATGCAAACAAGACAGGCCTTTTGTTGACTTCTGCATATAGATTTGTTTAGGTGTCACATTAAATTAAGGTGCCTTAAGAGAGTGGGACAAAACCCTTAATCATTAAATTTTAGGGATAAGTTTGTTGTTTTTCACTTATTTTACATACAAAATGTAAAGCCTAACTTTGCAAATCCATGATGAAGAGCAGAACGAAATAGAAAAGAAGGAAAACAGCAATTTTCATTTGTAGTATGAAAAATGGAATAATATTATTTTAGGGGGAGAGATTAAAAAAATGTCATTTGTATTCAAGGGATTTTATAAAATTGGAAATGACTAAAATATACTTACATCATACTATTAAGCTGCCCTAGACAGAACAAAAACAATGAAAGAAAAAAGTAAAGGAAAAAGGGAATAAAAGATAAGACGAATTAAAAAAAATGGAAAAGAGATAGAGAAAAAAGGAGACAAACGAAAAAGAGAAAAAATCCTCTTTAGAGAGGATAAAAGTAAGAAAAGAGAAGAGAGAGAGATAGAGGAAAAAGGAGAAGAGAAAATAGTGAGGGACAGGGAAGAGAAAATAAAATAGAAAAAGAAAAGAAAAATTGAGGAAAGAGATAAAAAGGAAAGAGAAAAGAAAAAGAAGAGAGAAAAAGGGGAGAAAATAAGAAAAAGAAGAAAAAAAAAAGAGAAAAAAAAAAAAAAAAGAAAGAAAAAAAAAGGAAAAGAAAAAAGAGAAAAGAAAAAAAGGGAGAAAAGAGAGGAAAAGAAAAAAGGGAGAAGAGAGAGGAAAAGAAAAGAAAAAGGGAGAAGAGAGAGGAAAAGAAAAGAAAAAGGGAGAAGAGAGAGGAAAAGAAAAGAAAAAAGAAAGAAAGGAAAAGAAAAAAGAAAATATATAGAAGAGAGATAGAAAAGAAAAAAAAAAAATCAGGAAAAAGGAAAAAAAAAAAAAAAAAAGAAGAGAAGAGAAAAGAAAGATAGAGAAAAAATTGTAAAAGAGAGAAAGGAGAGAGAAAAGAAAAAGAAAAACAGAGAGAGAGAAAGAAAGAAAGAAAAGAGAAAGAGAAAGAAGATTGAGAGAGAAAGAGAAGAAAAGAGAAGAAGAGAGATTTGATAAAGAAAAAGAGAGAAGAGAAAGAAGAGAGAGAAAGAGGAAAGAGAGAAAGAAAGAAAAAAAAAGAGAAAAGAGAGAGGAAAAGAGGAAGGAGAGAAAAGAAAGAGAAAAAAAGAGAAAAAAAAGAAAGAAAGAAAAAGAAAAAAAAGATGAAAGAAAAGAAAAATGGGTGAAAAAATTTAAAGAAAAAAAAATTTTTAAAAAAAAGAAAGAAGGAAGAAAAAAAAAAAAAATGCTTTGATTAAAAAAAAAAAAAAAGGAACAAATTTCAATTTGAAAGAAAAAAAAAAGAAAAAAAGAAAAAATAAAATAAGATAAAAAGAATTGAAGAAAAAAAATAAAGAAAAAAGAAAAAAAAGGAAAAAAAAAAAGCTTTTAAGAAAAAAAAGAAGGTGTCTGAAAAAGAAAAATGAAAGAGAGAGAAAATCAAAAAGACAAGAGGGAAAAATAAAGAAGTTTTTAGAATAAAAAAATAAAAGAAATCTTTAAAAACATTGTAGAAAAAAGTGTTGAATGTCACACAAACATCTTTTAAAAGACAAAAAAAAGAAAGATATTAAAAAAAAATTTCAAAAAAAGAAAAATAAAATAAATTTTTTCAATTTAAATTTTTTCCAAATAACATAGATCTGGCATGTTTTGTAAAAACAAAAAAAAAAAAAAGAAGAAATAGCAAAGAAAAAAAAAAACTTTTTATTGATCATATTGATTTTTTCAAGATCTCTCAAAATCTTTAACAGGGAGACAAAGTTTAAAGAAATATGACAAGAGAAGTTTTGCTGAAAATTTCAAAAATTGGTTGAAGATAACTGGTTCTCTGTTGAAAGGACAAGAAAACCCAAAATAAAAAAAAAATGGGAGAAGTCAAAATTTCAGGTTGGCCACAATTTTTATTGAATAGTTCATAGAATTTAAATGTATACTAATGCTTAAATTAATGAAATTAAATGTATGTAATTTTAATAATTTAGATTATGAAAATTTATTAAATTATTTAGTGTTTGAATTTTTTAAAATTATTTATAATGTGAAAATATCATTCTTTTAAAATTAAAAAAAAAAAAAAAAAAAAATAAATAGATATAATAAATGGTTGATTTCATTGGAGAGATTAAATATATAAAGATATTGTATTTTTTTAAAATCAAAAAGAAAATTAAATAATTTAATTGTACCTTGGATATGTTCTAAAAAAATGGAATTTTTTTTTAGAATTATAATAATTTTATGGGCCACAGAAAATGATTGGGTTCAAAAAAAGAATGAATTGAATGAAAAATTAAAGGAATTTAGTAAAGAGAAAATAATGGGTCTTAGAAATAGCCCAATCTGACCAAGGGGAAAAATAGATACATAACAAAAAGATTGCACTATCATTGAAAAAAGATATCATGACTAAAAAAATAAAATATTTTTAAAGCAAAGGGTTTTATAAGGCAAGTGAAATTTTATATATTTTTTTTAAATATTTATATTTTATTTCCAATCTGGCACATTTGAAAAGTTGGGATAGATATTTCAAGAACAAATAATTAAATAATTATATACGTTTATATCTATTTGATAGGGGTTTTAAAGATAAAAAAAGCAGTGCATAATAATCACTTTTTAAGATTTTAACAGACAATTAACTTAACAACTTGTTACAGAACAGAGACTTTATTTGAAAAGGCAGTTAGAAATTTTTTTAAAAAAGGTTGAAAAATTATTTTTCATAATTCTAAAAAAGCAGTTATAATATAAAACAATTATATGATGTATCATTTTTATATGATTTTGTAGAAAGTAAGAGATTTTTTTTTTAACACTGCCCCATATATATGCTCTTCAGGAAGGAAAAGATACACACTGATGATCACATTAGATTGATTTTACAAAAACCCTGTTCTGGCAGGAGACCAAACATCAAAAAAAATTAATGGCTAAATTGGACTTTTTCTAACAAAGGTTCCTCTTCTGGCATCATCTGAAAAAGATAGAAGTAAAGAAAAAATTTTTAAATTTTTTTTTTTACAAATATTTTAGATATAATTTAACCGATCAGAAAAAAAAAAAAAATTCCAACAAAATTTTTATATTTCATATTAATTCAATAAATGTTAAAAAATGTACTTTTAGTCTTTGAGACAGAAGGATGCCAATCACATTAAAATGAAATTAAAAAAATTGAAAAAAAAAAAAAATTTTTGAAATTTTTTTTTAAAAAAAATGCTTTCTTTTTTTTAATGATTTCATCATTCAAGGCAATAAAGCCACTAAGAAAAGGGGTTTGTGATAGAATACAAGAAAAAAAAAAACAAAGAAATAAAATCTAATTAAAAAAAAAAAGATAACAAATATGGAACATTATAATTATATTTTTAAAAGATCAAATTTTGTAAAGCAAGAAGCTATATAGAAAAATTGAAAAGAATTTAAAAAAAAAAATTTTAATAGAAATTACTGTTACATCTCACCATTTTTTTGCAATGTTATTAGGTCACCATTTGGATTTTCCAAAGTTAAAAACATTATTATCATAACAAATAAGAATGATAGTCTGAATAAATTATATTGCCAATTCTGCATCTCAAAAAAGAAAATAAAAAATTGAAATAGTAAAAAATACCAATTATAATAAATGTAAATATATGACTTTTGACATATGAATATAAAAATGTTTAAAAATTTCATGACTGTCTGAAGGATTTTTTGGAATAAGAGATAGAAGATGCATTTTAAACTTTATTAATATTATAAAATCTGGTTGTGAGTTCAATTTAATATATTTAGGGAAATGATATATTTAAACAGCTCAAAAGGTAATGGTTTAAACATAAAGATAGAACAATTTTTAAGAATAGTGAGAAAAAAAAAACTGGGTGCCAAATACTTTATTTATTGATATTATATATAAATTATATATATATTAAAAAATATTTCTTTTTATAGCTCAAAAAACAAAAGAAACTTGCAGGACATTGATCTTAAATTTGGTGACAAAATCTGTTTTTAAAAATATTTCCTATTTGGGCAGTTTAAACTGTTTTGGACTGTAAAAACAGTCATGAGTTTAAATATATTATAAAATAAAATATAAAATGAGATAAAAATAGACATGGGCAGTATGTTAGAACAAAAACCCTATAGATTAAATAAAAAGGGTTTTTTTTTAATTCCTTGTAGGTTACCAGGATTGATGTAAACCTAAAAAAATGAAGGCCAGAAAACAGCAAAATTGAAATGTTATAGCAACAAAAAATCAGGACAATTGACTGAATATAATAAATCTTTTAAGTAATGATTACTCCTCATTATAAATTCATTTTTTTTATTTTTTAAATAAACAAATGTAAAAAGGTAATTTGAAAATAAAAAAATGAATTTTTTGACTTTAGTTAAAAATGCCAAAAAAGAGTCAATTGAAAATTATTCAAAATTATTCTTTCAAATTAACAAATTAGTATTAAGTGAGGGATCACATTTCTTTTACAACCAAGTCATAAACAGATACCCCTCTTTTTTTTGGATTTTTTTTTATTTTAGCATTTTTCTGGACAGAGGTATTTTTTAAAAAAAAAAAAATTTAAAAAATTGAATGAAAACTACTTTTTAAAAATTATTGCTAGTTTAATTTATATTTGAATTTCTTCAAAAAGAATATTTTTTTTTTCAAATATTGTAAAAAAATTTTGGACCAAAATGCTCCTCTTTTATGTTGGTTAAACAACAAAATTTTGACCATTTAAAAAACATTTTTTTCAAAACTATTACTTTATAATATAATCATGAATTTTTTCAATTTTAAATAAAAGTTGGAGTCCCAAATATATACAAATGGAATAAATTTTTGAAAAAAAATGATTAAACTATAGGTATTACTTTAATATATAAAGTCATATATCTATGAGGACATAAAGATAGGAAATTTTTTATAAAAAATGGACAAAAGGCATGTCTGACTTTCCAATTAGTAAAAACTCATATTAGATTGACCTGTGATTATATAACATATATATATTATATATTTATATTATATATATATATACAATAAATATATATATATATCAGGTCATCCCATAAGTTCTGTCCGAATTTTAACTTTTTTGTTAAAATGAACGAAATTTAAAGAGTATTTTATAATGTCTAATGGAGCTGAACATTATTTTTATGTTTAGATGCATTTAAACTAATCAAATTTTATTTCAGAGAACAATAAAATTAAATTTTGTTTGATTACAACACTGCTAAAATCGAACTACCCAAGAATCATTTGAGGCACATAATGCTTTATGATAAAGGAAACTCAGCAGCCGAAGTGGCTAGAAACATTCACTCAGTTTATGGAGAGGAATGTGTGAATGAAAGAACTTGCAGAAGATGGTTTGCAAAATTCAGAGGTGGAGATTTCACCCTTGAAGCTGAAGATCGAACCGGACGTCCAGTTGAGTTTAATGAAAAGCTTCTTGAAGCAGCCCTTGAAGAAAATCCTGCTTTATCAGTTGAGGAATTGGCAGTGGTTCTCAGTTCAAACCATACAACTGTTCATCGTCATCTTCAACAACTTGGAAAAGTTCCTAAACTTGGAAAATGGGTGCCTCATGAATTGTCTGAAAACAACCTCAAATCCTGAGTTGACATCTGCTCTTCTCTCCATTCTCGCCAACTTGTTTCACCTTTTTTGGATAGACTTGTGACTGGCGACGAAAAATGGATCTTTTATCGAAATGTTAAGCGTCGTAGACAGTGGCTTGGTAAAGGGAAGGACCCCAGCCACAGCCGAGAAGGGAACTTCATGGGCAAAAGGTTCTTCTTTCAATCTGGTGGGATCGCCAAGGAATAATCCACTTTGAATTCTTACCACCTAATGCAACAATTAATGCTCAAATATACTGTCAGCAATTAGAGCGTTTGAACCAAGCTTTGAGAAAAAAAAAGACCTGCTCTAGTGAATCGAAAAGAGGTGATGTTTCATCAGGACAATGCGCGACCCCACACAGCAAGAATCACGTCACAAAAGATCGAAGAACTTGGTTGGGAGAAAATTCCTCATCCACCTTATTCTCCCGATCTTGCTCCTTCAGACTACCATTTGTTTCGTAGCTTACAGAATCATTTGGAAGAAACAGCTTTTTTGTAACACAGGAAGAGGTTAAAACTGACATTTGTGAGTTCTTCGAATCAAAGCCAAAAGAATTTTACAGTAATGGAATTAGTAAGCTTGTTAATAGATGGAAGGAAGTCATAGATAATCAGGGAAAAAAATACATTGTTGATTGAATCTGTAATTCAAAAATGTAACATTTGGTCACTTGTTTTCTTTATTCAAAATTCAACATTGAAAAAACAGTTCCCACACAATCACCGGGTTAACAACGTTGAACTTGGTCACTACCTAGATGGGTAACTGATTGAGAATATGAGGTGCTGTGAGCTTGGGTCTGTGGGTGGTGTAAAGGATAATGGTTCTGAATTCCAATCAGGTATGTTACATTCACTTACATGCAAATACCCTGGGTAAAAGTATGAATCCATCTCTTTTTCATCCCAATTATGGGTTGAATAGCAGGACAGACTGGATCCTATAGCCTTGCATGGCCACCAGTCTACTGCAGAAAGAAATGGTAACCTACTACAAGTCAGTTATGAATTGAAAGATTCAAATTGCCCAAGTGTGTATCATGTATAGCATTTAACAGACTGAAATGATGAGGAAAGTGGGATTGGAAAATCTGGTACTCACAGGACATATTGAGGGACAGAGGAAAACAAACACTTACCCTAACTAGTGAGCTTGAGTAAATGGAAAGTAGAACACGATTTAACAGAGATAACAAAAAGACAAAAAAATTATTAAGAGCTACAAAGGACAGAAAATTGTGGAGAGCCATGATTGCCAATGTCTTGAATGGACATGGCACAGAAGAAGTATTAACTGATAGGAGTTATCCCCCTTAAGCATGAAAGGGTGGAATGAGAACAATCTATACATGGACTCCACCCAGATTTTGTGGAACTTCTACATTGAACAGTTATATACTGTACCTATGAACACTAATGGGTATGTCCCAATCCTCATAAATATGTTGGACATTATTGTAGTAGGGGTAATATGCTGTCTAAGTAGTCCACCACTAGCAGTGGTTTACCTACTCCACGCTGCTGGTGAGTATTGTATTTTGTTGATGTTATAAAGATTTTCTAGGTTACAACATGAACCATCACTAAAGATGCAGGAAAAATGATCTGTACCACTCCAATAAGTACCTGACTCCTGCTATCCTCTACTCTCATCAGAACCAGATCAGGCCTTAAATGGAGTCCTGCTGTCATATTTGGGCAAGAGATGCCCAGTCCTAACTTTTCAGTCTCTATAGAATCCAAAAGCATCACTGCATTCTTGTGGGTGACAAT